CTCGTACGACAGTAACGAGTCAATTAAGACGAGTGTGCAAACAGTATAAACCAAAAGAATCTCTTAGAATTCTTTGTTATACAAAACACAAAAGCACAATCAAATAGAGAGCAGACTCAGAGTATCCATATCACTTTTGAAAGTGTCAGTGGTACTTCTGATATTACACATTATTCATGTCCTTCGCCTTTGATTCTAATCACTTGCATATATTTAATTACAACACCCTTGAGCAGGTATTTAACTGAATCAGAAGTCTTTTATGTTCTACTCTGTAAGTTGTTTCCGGTGAGGGTGTAAGGGTACAATGTATTATTAACTTGCCTCCATCAATGAGACGATTCTTAAAAATGTTGCAGACCAATTTGCATCATTTCACTGATGGAGGCAAATAAATGAAATATGGAAGATAGAAATATTTAAGGGCAATGCAGACTAATATAAAAGAGTGCCTGCGATAGTAAACATTATGCGCATGTATGTCGCGGAAAAGTTTTCAACCGCTGTGAATAGACTACCTGAAAATCGTAATCAAGAGTACTCCTTGTTCCTGTAGTTGAATACATTAACTCGTAAAATGGTTTGGCTTCACGCGATAGAGGTTCCCACTAATGAACCAGTTAAATTACTTCTAGTAGTGTTACTAAGTCTTGCCTTATAGTAGAACGGAAAGTGCTACCTCGAAGAAAAAGGAACAAGGATTATTTCGTTACCGTCGTACTCCTCTGAAAGCTATTAACATCCCGATGTTACAATGGGTAAGTACAGGAACACATTGTTTAATGCTACTGCTAAATTCAAGAATAATTGTCTCAGAAAAAAACTCTCTTGATATGACTAAGTCAATGCAGTGAAATAGGAGTGCATTGGAAATGATAATAGATCTGTACAGGTTTCGCTCTTACGGAAAGCTAACATTTCAGTGGCGATTAAATACCCTACAGGCTCTTACCATGTTTTGTGAACATGAGGCTAAGATTCTTAAAGGACCCCTTTACCTCCTTGTAGTGCAATGGGAAGATTTTCTGTGAAGTTTAATGGCTTTAAGAGCAATTAAGAAAATGAAGAAATAGTTCATCAAGATGTAGTGTGCCCCTGCATGGTATTTTAGTGGTATACGATGGGGTATGAGTGATCCATTTTAGTTGGGTGCAGTGAATAACCAAGGATACCTTGTAATGCAGTGATACAATGCTGTCTTATCTAAAAAAGTTTGATGCAGGGTGGTTGACTAAAGTTCTGGACAGACTAGTGCAAAACATGTTTGTATGTGAAAAAATGTAAAAGACAGTGGGAATTTGTTCCTTTCTTGCAGCGCTGTATTGAAATGCTGTGTATTGCAATATACAGGGTGTTGCAGTATAGCAAGTCTTCAGTGCATCATTTATCAATGCAATTTGGTGCTGTTTGTATCACTTTACTATAGTACTATGCAGTGCAATGTGGTTTAGTGCATTTTAATAAAGTTGCAATACAGAAAAGTGCAGTACATTGCAGTGTAGTTGCAGTGCATATGTGTTGTATTGCAATGTAGTTTAGTATGATGCAGGTATAATGCGTTGTCCATCATGATTCAGTGTAACGTAGCATATTATAGCGACGTACATTAAGTACATGTGCATTTTCTGCTATGCCTTTTGGTGCATATCGTGCAATATGATAGCATGGAAAACTGCAGCACTGTCCAGTTATATGCAGTGTTGTACTAGAAAACCTTGCATTCAATGTTAGTGGGGACGAAAACAACAGCCACCCAATTTTAACCACAAAAGCTTTATGACATTCGAGTATTTAAAATCAATGAAATCAACATGCAAATAATGACTGTGAAATATGCAAGTAAAGTAAGGACATACAGGCTAAATAGATTGTTAAAAGCAAAGGTTTGAGTTCAACTAAAAACACGATTCCATTAATTGGGATCAGTCCATATCGATCACAGATAAAAAGGCGAATGAGAAGGCAAACAAACAAGCAGCAGAGATACAAAGCAAATAAACACATGGGAATGAGGACAAAATGAAAACATGTAGGTAACCATAGAGTGAGCCAAGAATAATTAAAATCGTAACAGACAATTGTGAAGAGAAATCAAAACATACCTAGAGAGATTGATGATAATATAATTAGATGGGAGAAAAAGAAGGAGAATGAAATGAGAAATTGAGGGTAAGAACTAATGGAAGGATACCTTGATGACAATGAGTCATCGAACTATTAGTGCACTAGAAACCAAGATTGGAAGACAACATTTAGAGAATCCTGATAAGATTATACTGAAGGTTAACATGGACACGCAGTAAAAGGGTATTTTTAGCTCCAGTTTGATCATAATGAAGGCCTTTATGCTACAGTTACAACAATACTAAGCCTACATAAGTATGATTCAAAGCTTTGGGTATCGTCTGTGTAGAACTTTTCCATGTAAGTGTGATCGTTCATCTTGTGATACAAGAATACACCTCCTGAAACATTTGTCGCTTTACTTCAGAAGATATCCACATTTTGCTAAATAATAAATATATGAATCAATAGGAATTATTCAACATCATGCTATTTTTAAAGTCATTCCGATGAGAGAGAATACAAATTAACTATAAATGCTTAAGTGTTAAACCGAGAAAACGTGTTATTACCAGACAAAAGACTGAGAGTCAGTAGGACATCGTCAAGTGATGGTGCTACATTAGCAATAGAAAGTTCAAGCCTAAAAGACAAATGCCCTGAGGATCAAACGTACGATACCTTACATTGTTAGCACGATTTTTCGAACCCTCAAGTTGATGATCCATTATTTTTTAAGGTTTTTACGTAAGAATAGCTGACGAGTCATCGAAGCCAAAGGGAATTGAATTATTGTTCACTTACTTTCACATGAACCCATGTAAGGTTTGTTGAAGCAAAAGAAACATCACGGTTGAAAATAAGAAAAAGATATATGGGAGATTCTATTGACCATTAAACAAGAATTATTTACATTTCACCTTAAATTTCGTTTGAATCGAAGTTGGAATAATTAACCTTCGTTGTGAAGCATTCACGCTTCAAGAGACAAATTCTATACTGAAGATAAATTTATCTCTACACCTGTTAGCATGTATTTAATGAAATTTTATCGTACCCTTACAAACTAATGAGCTAAAACAGTAGCTGAATGTGAACTCAGTTAGCAAACAACGTTTAAATGATTTATCAGTTTTCTGCTTATGTCACGTTCGCCATTTAAAATTCAGCACTTGGTCCTCAGAAGAGTATGTAAAATTTTCAAATTATGAGTGGTTTAGTTACCTGAATACGGCAATTTAGTGAAATTCGGATCGTGAAACACCTGTTCCACAACAAAACCTTCCACAGTGGAAAATAACAAGCTTGGAGATTGATGTGGACAGACGAAATGCAAATGGCGGGGAAGGGGTTTCTTCTCTCTTTTTTCTTTCAATTTGATTTAATTTACTTTGATCTTTTTCTCGTCATTTCGCCCCGTGATTCATTTCCTGTTCATCTAGTTACTAAGGATGTAAATAATGAGCCAAACAATACCTACCTACCGTTGTTTACTTAGTGGGTTAAAAATTGGCTCGTTTATCTAACCTGCGTGGTGATGGGCGCTGAGGATCAGGAAATGCTTCTTAATGTAGGTTCGAAAATGTCGTCGTGGAAGGAAAATGTTGTCGTTTCTATGAGTCACATTTAAAGCCATAACTAACTATTTTATTTGCGAGTGCAGCCATAATCCGTTTAAAGGTAAGAGCAGAAATTAATGAACCCCTTTACTGATTATAACAAAATCTCAACTTTATTTCGTAACTGTACGTGCCGGTTCAAAGAGTAAACTGAACACTTGAGTGAACTTAGCCATTAAAGGTTAACAATTGGAGAACCATGTGCAGTTTTTAATGACATCGGATGTCTGCTCCTTTTATTTTCATCCGGGTGTTGACGCAATTTAACATAGAGAACCGACTGCGTGGGTTGTTTTGGTGTGCCGACCGGTTAATACCTCCGGGAGAACACTAATACCCCATCACATTTAACGCTTAGAAAGGTAAGAAGAGTGCTGTAATTTTTGTTTCATGATGGAATTTTCCTCTCAGTTATATAACTTTTCTTGTTTCCTGCATGTATTCTCATTTTTTCACGTATGCATGATTCACCGTTCGTGCAGCAGCCCACTCGTTCCTCTAATGGATTTCACTTTGCACATTGTAGTGTGTACCGTTCAATACTCACTTTAGATTCCTCTCGTAGTTTTAAAGCCACAACTATAAAACCCATTGTCAAGTGTATTATTTCGCGAAAGGAGTTGTTAGAAAGTTGTATACTAATTTTGCAGGTGTAGTTAAAACCACTTTCCGGGATTCTTTAAATCTATTAATTTAAGGCACGGCTATCTTGGTACCAAAATGATTTTAATTTAAAGATTCGGAGTTGAAAGGAAAGAAATTCGGAGTTGAAAGGAAAGAAATTTTTAAGTTAGTGTGAGTAAACCAAACTTTGTTTGCAAAGAAACAGGGTGAAGAGGAACTGGGACCCAGATGAGCTCTGGAATGTAAACACCGTCTAGTTACTCGTTGAACCGCTGGCAACGACTACAATAACTACAACTGATTTAATTCAGACTTTCCAGCGAAAATTTAAGTCTATTTGTCGCTTTTACGATAAATCTTTTCCTTCCTCCGGGTCAAAGTAGATGATAATCTTAGGATTGAAGCCTCATGGTAAATTAAATGGCCCCCTCCGTTAACTTGAGCCCACGCAACTAGCACATGTCAATGTCTTATTGTTAGCAAAATTGAATTATTTCGCGACACTTTTTTTTTTTAGTTTTTTAATTGTTTTAAGGTGTAAAGTGGGAGAAATGAGTGAGAAGTCTGAGTGATTTATCAGAATTTTTCTTTTGTAACAATTGTACTTCTTCGCGATAGTTATCCCAGATTGTTCATATCCCGCCAAAGAAGATGAAGGGACTATGAAGGTCTATTAAGCAAGAAAACTATGGGGAGATTTAAATTTGTTTAATACACATCGTATCAAAATCATCGTATTTGTTGAGTCTTCAAGGGCTTTTTTACATGTTTCTTAGAGATCGCCGTCAGCTTCAATCACGTTTCACAATCGATACCTCTTAAATACTTGTACTGATCGTTCATGTTAAAGTCTGAATGAAACATTCTGTCCTCTTAAAGCTTTTCTTCAGTTTTTTCCTTCGATGTAGAATGTATGAAACAGTCCGAAGCAGTATTTATCTCTTAGTAGTTGGACAACTGTCCCTTAACGACGAAGAATGGATGCATTTCAGTATATGTTAAATCTTGAATATAACCATGTTTATTTCATGTCATACTACAAAGCACCTTCCCAGCAGGAACCAGCCCTGTTCTTCTCTCTTAACCCTCCACCACAAAGATGTGCGTAGTTTGGCTTTCTGAAATTTTTGAGTCAAAATGAGTTAGAAAAGCGATCATGGGTCCTCCAACAAGACGAAAAATACTGACAACGTGACTTTTAAGACTGAGAAGGACTCGTCGCTACGAAATATACATAATATAACTACAAGGTTTACGTTTTCCGACTGTATCGTCTTGATACTTGACTGAGGAGTGAAATTGACTGTTTAAAGACTTTCCATTAAAATAGTGATTTCGGTGACTATTGGCTCATTGAATTCCCCTGTTTATGCCAATAGTGTGCTCTATATGTACAATTATTCACCACATAATTCTTAGCTCGTTAAATAAGGCTTCTTTATGGAACAGACAGTAGGACAACGTCGCGGCCATGAGGTCGACTAAATATAGAGTATAAATTGTCTATTGAACATTCAAACAAATAAAAATTTAAGTCAAATGTTGACGTTTGTCATCTGAGGTCCGTTGAGTCGATTTAAAAAACTCCTACATTAGTGGGTGTATTTTCTTTATGTGAGAAGACCGATGATCTGAACGACTAAAGGACCTGCCACACAAGGGACATACGTAAGGTTTTTCGCCAGTGTGTCTTCGGTAGTGGCGCTTTAGTTCGTCCGATCTGCGGAAACACCACCCACAATCCTCCCACGGGCACAGGAAGGGCTTCTCGCCGGTATGAATTCTCTTGTGTGTTCCAAGATGCGAGCTCTTTGTGTAACGTTTTTTACAACCGGGAAAATCGCAGTGAAAGGCATGGCTTAATTCCAGTTCGCTCTCAGAGCATGTGGGAAAGGATTGGTGTGTATCGAAACTAAAGACGTTGGACTCCGCACATGATGCAGTCGTCGTAGTTGCTGGGTTTTGAAGAGTAGCTTGCGGCCACTCTAGCTTCAGATCGCAAGAAGGCGCTTGTACTGTTTGTAGGCCATTACACACGTTGGCCGTTGACTCTGGAAAGCGACAGTCTCTCTTCATCCCCTCTTCGAACTTTGGTTGATGGAGGTTTACATGTGGCTGCAATTCTGAAGGTGTGTCTTGAGAGGTGGAACACAGGTAACTATCCATTTCTTTAAGTGTCTGACGGAAAGAAAAGCCGTTTAAAAATGATTATACAGCTGCCATGCTTGATCAGTTGAACTTCGATAGACGATTAATTAAGTATAGACTCTTACATAACATCGAATTCACGAACAAGGTCACCGGAATACCGCCATCCTCTGTCTAGGAAGGGGCAGAAATTTGGCACATTAGTATAATAAACATAGAGCTCAGTTTAAGCGTACAGTGGGACCCCTGTAGGCTGTGACAATTGCTCCTCTAATTGCCGAATTCGCGTGCACGGCCCACGGGCTCTCGTAAATCTTTACCAGCTTGGGGAAATTTCGAATCATCATGCAGTTAAGATTAATGGCTGCAAAAAAAATCCGTGTTGTTACACTTTCGATCAGTCCAGAATGGACTCTGAAACTACAGGATTTTATTTACCGGATATACTTCCTTTGGCAATTTTGGAGTCATTTACAAGCATGACTAAAACGAGGAAATAATGAACAGACTGAACAGTGTCGGACGAGTTCTGTTCCGGCGTGAAAGCTCTTTCTTGAATTATAATTCATTTACAACAAGCGTATATTGAATAAAGAGCGACACTGGCTCGTTATTCAATCAGCGCATCTAACAATACCATATAAATCGCTTCTGAAAGATCGCAACTGACCTGTTGTAGTTCATCCTCTGTGTTTGGAATGAGCAACGAATAGATCCCCGCCGTCAACGGATTTCCCTCGCCTTGGTAGGAGTTCGGGTAGGTGATACTCTCCGTCACTCGCACCAAATCGTCGAAATTCGCATAAGCCATAGGGATACGCATTAAGACTCTCTTATCTGTATAACAGCAGTTCCAACTATAAAATGATATAAGTTTAGCAAACTCCACAGACTGTTTCGCAGTGAAAATGAATGATGTCCTTTCTTCCTGATCGCGTGTAAGTATTTAAGATTTAGACGTGTGTTTGCGTGGATCCGTACGGCTTAAGAGTCAGGTGCCGATTCTGCGCTAATCTGCTCCGAGTTTTCTTATGCAAAGTCGGATGCTCCGTTATTCAATTCTAAAATAAACTTTCCCCCAGGCTACAGTTGAGAGCAGTCACGCTGCACAGATCACGATCAACTTATCAGCGATGCGTATCGTAACTCAAATGAGGATGGTTCTCAGCCCGTATATGCCTTGAAGTTACTTTAAGTTGGAAACAGTTATCAATTCTGTGTCAAGAATATAATGGGGTTTCATTTTGAGTAGGAAGTTAATCGTTTGATATAAAAGAAGACTCTCGAATTATTAACGACTCGCTTCAGCAGTCGTTTTGTAACGCCGAATGCTCCAGAAGGTTGTGTAAACTTCGAAACACCTTCGCAGCCTCCGATTGGTTCCGAAAATAGTGCGACGTTCTATCTTCGGACTCCGATTACAATAACGATCTTTCGCGAAATGCTCGGTTGATCTCGGAGAAAAGGTTATTGCGAAACAGGGACACGAACATGCTGATCGGCTGCGTGAAGCCTTTATTAGAGAACAGCATAAATAAAAGAAATTGTTCTATTTTTGTTCTATATATATGTTGCAAGGTTTATCGGTGTTTTCGATGTTCTATTTACATAGTTGCAAAAAACAGAACGCATTGAACTTTTATCCGCACAGGGAAATTTGAAAATCGAAATGTTGCCTTGAAGGCTCGTGAAAGTTTTGTTAAGTGAAGCAAAACGTAAGTACACAATACGCATAATGTGACAGGAAAGATCACATTTTTACAGGGACATGATAAGTAATATTCCGTATCGGTTTACGTCAAAATTCATAACCAAAATACAGGTTTCTTATGCAATGATCATCGTAGTAACCTGGAGGGTCACTGTTCTAGTCGAGTGGTTTCGTTCAGATCTTTCACGTAGCAGTTTGGATAGCGTGACTTCAACTTCCGATTTTGCCTTTTAATTTTTTATTGGCTTCAAGAAAGTTAGCGGACCGAATCAGAGTGTTCTCTGAAGAGTCCGTCGGCCCACGTAATTTATAGATTGTTGAGATGTTGTTTTGAAATCGAACGCCGAACCCACACATTGAAAGTAGCGGATAAAATTAGCGTTGATGTTACTTTAGGCTTTAAGAGGCTCCGTTGAGCGTTAAATATTAATGAGCTGACGGCAGCCGTGACGCAACAAAGACTATGCTTCTAAATTTTGCCGATTGGATACCACCCACCAGTTTAAGATTTCATTATAAAGCTTCCATTCTCCAGTAAAAGTCAAAGTTGTGCAGGTGAAATTAAAAAAAATAATAAAAACAGAACAAAAGTTTCGCTTGAATCGAGAATACTTATAACAGAGAATTCTGCATGGTGGCCTCAGAAACTGCTTTGTACTGTGTTATATTGCTTAAAATGCTTTGTGGATATTAGAACTTCCTCAAATCATCTGAAACTCTATGTGTATTGCGAAACGTATACATTTATGGTTCTAAGCCTCAACGAGACAGAATAATTCTGTTCGAATACATTTCGTGACTCGCTGTGTCAGTTTAGCCGAGCTTTAATTACCGTGTCTATAAATCAAGCTCGTCGTAAAAGCTGTGTTTAAAAGTGACATCATGTTAGTTTTTTCTCCTTTTTCCGCTTTATGTAGAAATTTGGCAAACTGTAACAAAATAAGGCAAGCAAGTTAATTGTCGATCGTCTAACTTGAACCCGTTTTGGTGGATTTCTAACAAACATATTGAGTAGTCGCTAATATTTTAATCGCACTGATCTTACTCTCTATTTTGACCTATTGTTTTGTGGACTGAATTATTTTTCTTTTGCCCAAATGGAATAAACGTTTGTTGAAGCATCTCACATAACACTCAATGAAAACATACCACTATTTGATCAAATAGGCCCAGAACAAAAGTAAAATAAAATCACAGTGAATGTTGTCAGAGATGGAAGTTATACAGCACCCTGAGTTCGTCTCTTAAGAGCAAGTAATTTCGTGCCCTTTGAGAACCCTAGTATTTAAGAAGCCTTCCCATCTTTGCTTTCCATCTATTACGGTACTTTTCTACAAGAATTGAGTGTCTAAATCGTTTATTCGTTAATCCTTTGTTTTGTGAACAAATTCAATCGCGTGTGCAATGTGCAGATATAATACTTTTCTCAAGACTTAAAAAATGTTGCTTACACTCCAGGAGAGAATTGAAAAACTTGAATTACATTTGACACTGGTTATTGACCAGTATCCACGATGTTGACAGAATTCCAATCGGGTTTCAACAGCATCAAGCCATGTTAATTTTGTTCTTTAGAGGCTCCTTTTAAATGGACGTTTTTTTTTTTAGTAAATCCTGACCAAGGGTTTTGCTGAAGTAAACAAAAGATGGTCGATCTGTGCTTTGTTTATACTAAACTTAGCAGGTTTGCCTAAATATATTCTCTTTGAAAGATTAGCCAACGTACGGGCTGCTTCAGGTGAAGGTGTAAGATTGAAAGGCTGTCAAGGTATTTTCAACTTCTAACGGCTAAATTAAGATTGTCTTTACGCTTCAGAGTACAAACTAGCGAAATAATTCCTTGCAACCCACCTCCTTAGCCGCCTACCAATATGTGATATTTGTGCAATATGTTTTGATATAGGCACCATAGAAATATTATGTCCATTGCACCATGTCTATGTATATATGTCAAATAACACGTCACATTATACTCTGTTCGTATTTTATTTGTATTTTGCTCTCGCACACTAGGAGAACTAACTAAAATTGACCACTTTTGTGGGCGAGACTACGATTATTTAATCTTGAAGCAATAAGCAGCTGATTTGGATCCACTGAGTATTATTGAGAGCGATTACATATTTGAAAACTTTGATTCTGGGTTCAGTATCGTATTTTGTGTTGCTGTGAAGCTCTGATTATATGTCAACTATGCCTTTTACAACTTTTTTTAACCGAGCTTTTAACTGCATTCTTTGGGAATGGAAACATTTACGAGGAGTACATGAAGAGCATTCAGTTTACGATACTAAACGAGAGAATGAAATTTTCACTTTTTAAGAGGTGTTTTATGAAAGAAAAGGAATCAGCATGTTGACATGGCTACCAAAACAGTCTACAAGAAAATGGTGCTTTTGAAAGAGACATCAAAGTCGTTATTGATGTGTCCCGCAATAACAAACTGCGTGTAGGAGCTCGGCAAACGGGTATATTTTCATAAAAGAGGCACAACCTAACTTTGGAGGTCATCAAATTTATCCTGAAACAGTTTCGAAACATCAGTCATTGATAAGACACGCTAGAATCAACAACAGTCATCAAGTTATTGTTTATCTAAATACAACGATTTCGAAGGGTTTTGTCGATTGTAGAAAATTGTAGCTCTCCCTTTGATTTTCCTTGCAAGGTATGGGATTAGCTTTCCTGTATTTTTTTTCGTTTTGAGAATTTGGCTTAAACGTTTCTTTGGTTCTTTTGTATAAGGCGTGCGAATCCGTTCCTTCGGGGCAGTAGCATGCATTCCACTACTGAAACGAACTAATCGTTTCTCTTGCCTGTTGCGTTGAGGTTTTGTAGTTAAATTTAAGAACACGTTACTTACAAATTTATCGTCACTTCAGAGCTTTTGAGCTTTAGCTGGATAGTTCGGTGAATATTTTTATCTTTGAAATTTCTAGGTAGAGGTTTTGATGGTCAACACATTCAATGAAGCCACTGTGTGCATTGTTCTTGAGAAAATAGCTCTGCAACCACACAAGCGATGGTTATAAGTCTGCTTGTTTTCTTTCAAACCATTGGTTCCTCGCCATTCAGTGTAGACATTTCTAAATTTTTGTCTCTGATTCGTAAGTAAACAATTTGTGAAAATACGTGATATGAGTCTCAAATCTTTTAATTTCATGGAGCAGATTGTAAAATTGCCATAATTTATTCTGTCATATTGATCATCTTGATTTGGTTGACTTTGCCCAATATTCTCAGGCAAATGAATGTTAATGAATGTTTCGTTTCAACAGCTTTTGAAATCATTATTATGACATGTTCAGACAAAACGTGCATACTGATAGTTTTGTTTGGAAACAGAGCATGGATGATTTAGGCTGTAAAATTGCTGGATCTCAACCAATCATAACGCTTACAACTTGAGATAATGTTTTTTAAGATTTTGAAAGTATTGCTACATCTTTGTTAAGTATCAATTTTGATAAAACTGTAGCTGTTGTTGAATATGTTGCCAATGTGTAGTTATTACAATTCTATGTTGCGCAATTTACTAGAGTTCTGTTTTAAAATTCCCTTCAGATGATGTGAAACATTGGATCAAACCAAAATAACCTTGTATTAGTTATCAAATAATTAAGGCTCAGGCTCTGACATGTCGTTCAATATTCAGTTCAACAATAATGATCATAAGCAAAACACCGTTTTGATTAGTTTGATGAAGTATTCACTAAGTCTAACAAAGGTAAATCACGTTCATCCATTTTGGAGTCTTTGCTCATTAAAGTAGGCGATTTCTCTTGTCAATTAAAGCTGGTATCCAGTAGTTGACAGGTAGCCTGTGTTATTGATCACTCAGTGGGTAGGTGGCGATATTCAGTAGAGAATTTAACCTGGTTAACCCGCTTATAGTAAGTAAAAGGGAGAAAAGTCTGCAGCGGCTGTTAGAGAATTAGAATTAATTTTATAGCCAAGAAACTGCAGCCGGTGCACCCATTTTATCGTGCTCAACATTTATAAATATTTAATACTTGCAGATGCTCATTCTTGCTAACATGACCATGTGATCTTTCATTCTCATTTTTATGTAAAAGCATGTCAGCTTACTCGCTACTCAGGAGTTACCAACTTTCCACACTGAATGTTAACAGAGTGCAAAAAGGAAAAAAAATGAAAATGGACCAGGACCCAATCTAAGAATTACGACTTGTGCTCTGAAGGAAATTTTTGATCCACTTGAGAACAAGCATAGTTTGTTTCTTTTCCTTATTCGTCTCAGAGTGATAGTGCAGAGTAAGGTTTGTGGAAATTTATCTATTATACCAGCCCGATCACATTTGGCTACCCCTGATGATCATCAAGTGTCTCTCAAAAGGTAAAAGCTCCTTTGCTTTTCGTAATCAAATCTAGAGCTCTCTACCACGGTGGTGACGTACTCTTTCAAAAAGATGTGCATGGTTTTTTAGTTTCGGTACAACTACTACAAACCAATTGAACTTCTAACCTTGTGGACTCACCCGTTAATTGTCTTGTCATAATTAGCATATCAAGATACAGCTTTCTGAGAAGCTTATTAAATACACTCTGAGTGCATGGGGCTAAGGAGAAATTTTAATTTTCAAAATAATAGATACTTCTCTTTTTTTTGAAAGTTGTATTTGATGTCCTGATTGCAAGCATATTCCAAATTCTCTTGATGGGTTCCGCAACACATGGAAGAGGGGGACTACAGAATTGTCTGCACATGTCGCTGGATGAATTATGTTCGACGTTTAACTAAGCAAGAAATTTGCGAAATGATAATGATTGCTTGGCAAGAGTACAATGTCTTACGTTACTTTAAACTAAATTGCATCATAAACTTACAAGAAATCATTCACAGTAACATTTTTAGCGTGCGTGATTATTGCGGATACCACATTGTTCTCTAATTGACAGATCGATTATAAGCTCAGGATTGTCTTTAAAGTGCCTTTGTGAAAATAGCTTCCCTTTCTCCTCCTTTTGTAGATCAGACAAAAAAGCACCCATTGTGTTGTAGGCTTTGACTGAAACAAAGAAATATATCCAAAGTTATCTTAGTGGCGCCAACAACGCACATTCAGAAACATAATACGACAACTGAGACGTGCGTAACCTTTCGCTCTCTAAGTAAGTCATATCAGCTGTGACATCTCAAGTTTTCAAAGGTATAACAATGGAAGACATGAATATAAGCAAAGACAGGTCAATATAAAGTTAATTTGACAGTTCTGTAAAGATTCGTGTAAGCATTTCTCGAATGGTTTTATTTTTAACTGAAATTTGAGTTCACCTAAGGTCAATGATGGAAGTGTTCACTCGTATGCCAGACCACTTTACGACACTCTCAATCTTTATAGCGAGGTGCGAATTTTTCGTTTCGTGTCATGTGAATTAAGGAGGTACTCATCATATGATGGGAAACAAGCGCAGTTGTTTTGCCTAAACGAAAGTGTGTCTACTGCTAATCAGCCAAGTGGCTCATTTGCAAGAATATTGAGAAGAAAGAAAACGAAGAACCTCTGCGATAAAACTATTTTAAAGCGAATATGTAATGTCCTCTAGGCATTATTCTTCGTGGCCAAGTAAGGCCCTCAGTGCATGAATTACCCCAAGGCAACATTCCGTATTCACCGGTTGGGTGTCGCATGGTTCGGCAAGTACTCAGTCATTATTGCTCAGACAAGCCCAGAACATTATAACCATCAAGGAATTAGGTTTTGCTGTAATACCTTTTAAGATAACAATCAAAAAACGGCGAATCCAACAAAAGTCGAAGATAAATGCAGAGTAAGTCGATCCAGATTTAGAAGGCTACGAACATGTCCCTTAATTTTCTTCGATTCTTTTACAGAACGCAAAGCTTTTTTGGTCAAAAGTTAACCTAAATTAGACTGATAGGGATAAATTGTTCGCAATGTCCGCTATTGCTAATCAGTCAACATCGACAGAACTGAATTTTGTTTGATGATGGTTCGGGTCATGTGCTACAAGGCCAACTCAGTCTAATATCTGCTTTAACTAAAAACATGTATTGGGATCACCTTACATGAGACGTGAAGACATTTAATTAACAATCAATACCAAGTGTCGCGCGTGCGTGACACTTAGTCTCAGTCGTGCCGTGACGAATGTTCTAGAACTGACGCGAAGCTTGTCGATTCTTCAAGAGTCACGAACAAACGATGGGCTTTAATTACTAAAACTGCAACAGTAAAAGAACGAGAAAACAGAATTTTGCCATAAACTCACTGAAGCTGATCAATGTATAGTATAAATACCGTGTGCTCCTTTCAGTCGCTCCCAGTCACTACTTTAACAGTCTCCCTGCCTAGATCAGGGTGCTAGCTCAGAGGTTATATAACAATGGATTGGCCTACACAGGGAAGCCAGGTGAGATTATTCATGAACACTTTCTAGTTTCGTTTCTACGCCAGTTTTGTTCTGTTGGTTTTTATGTGTTGTTTTTTTGTTGTTGTTGTTTTTTTTTCGGTTTGCCTTTCACCTCCCTCCCTAACAACATTTTGGAGCATGACATTTTTGAAGGGATGGAATTCCCTTACAAACCATGATAAGAACCTCCAATCATCAGGGATTTTTTTTCCTATCCCTTCTCCTTTCGGGCCATCCATATATTCTTTTCTGTCCGCCGGCCTTGCTGTAAAAAATGTTCAGAATGTTGCGTTATTGGTACAACACTTCACATTTTCTTACATATTTCCTTTAGTAATTCTACTTGAATTGTTTTTTACCTAATCTAAGCAACACAACGGTACTTATCAAACTGAGAAATATGGTAAGAAAAATACGAGAAGTAGTAAAAAACATTACTTAAAGTGCTAATTGGTGGCGTTCTAGCACTAGATCTAGTAAATTTTAATGGAACACCAGTTGTAGAAGGGGCAGCATTGCATTAAAATATTTGACGATTGTCTAGTACCAGCTTACAATGTAAAGAGGCTGAAAGGCATAGTGACAGTTGAAGGAAGGAAGAAAAAGTCTTTTATAACAGTTAAGATGTAGTAGCAGCAAAGAGTGTAGAATCATTGACAACTGACGATAAGAGCTTCAGCAAGTGTGGAGGGGGGAGCGATAGTGATAAATTAAAGGTGTGGTGACAAGGTAAGGTGTAATGGCAATGGAAGGTATAGCAAAAGTGCAAAACGTAATAACAGTGATCGCTTTAAAGAAGTAGTAACAGTGAATTGATGTTTGAGTAACAGACTCAAAGTTGTAGTAACAGTACACGACGTACTATCCGTTCTTCAAGATGCATGAGGGTGTAATAATAGATGTCGAAGGTATGCTAGCGGTGGAAAGTGCAGGGACCAGAAACTGTGAATTAGTAGTTGATGTCAGCGCGTGTTCGCAGCTGTACGAAGTTGTTATAGAACAACATTTTGTAACAGTGGAAGGTTTAATAACGGTAGAGGAAGGTCTCAACAAAAGAAAACTAGTGTTAGTCGAAGGTGTGGCAACGTAGACTTTGTAGTAAAAATTTGAGCGGTAATAGTACAGCTGCGAGATTTATCATCATTGAAATAAACAGGAACAGTTGAAGACGTAAAAAAGAAGGAAGTGGAGAAACAGTTGGAAAAGTATCGAAAGAAGCAAGTGAATTTACCCTAAGTCGTGAATTTACGGTGGAAGGTGTGCTAAATGTGGAAGATGTGATAACATTAGGTGGTTTAAAGTGCCAAAAATTTATTAACAGTTGGAAGATGTTAAAGTAACAGGGAGATGGTCAGTAAGAGTAGGATCTAATTGGTGCGCTGTATTTATAAGGTGAACACCAACAGCAGATTATACAAAAACAACAGAAGATGTTACTCTAATATTTTCATCAACTGAGTGTAAAATGGAAAAGTTATAGGGAATGGAAAGAGAAATATAAAAGTTGCAAAAACAGAGGAAGGTGTAGTAAAAGTGGAAGATGTAATGATTTTAACACCAAGAGGCATTGTAACTCAAAAAATGCACAAAAATTAAAGGAGAAATAACAATAGAAGGGATAGGGGTACTAGAAGTTTGGAGAGAGGAGAAAGTGTGATACCGAAGAAAGGCGTAGACGTAATAAAAATAGAAAAAAAAAGCATAACGTGCACAAATACTTGAATACTTGTGAGAAGCGATAGATGGAGTAAATCAGTGTAGAATATTAAGTAACCTATAAGGAAGGTGAAGTGACTGAACAAGGTAAACTAACAGTGGCAGTTATGGTAATAACAGCCGAAAGTGTAAAATCCTTAAGAGAAAGTATTGTCAAAAAGTGTGTGGACAGTTGTATTAAGGTATTATAGTAGATTTTATGGCAACAGTAGAAGGGAAAGTATGAGTGGAAGTGGAAGTGGAAGTTGAAGAACTAGTAGCAGGAAATGTATCTATAGATGTGCTATGGTCGCGGGACTTGTAGGGATAGAACAACATGGATTAACAGTACAAAGTGTACATACTCTTCATCTTACGCGCCAATGTAATGAACGAGATAGCGGAAGTGAATGTAGTGTTGCTCAGTAGAAGACATAGTCCAATTTGGAGGTGTATCACCAATTACATATTTAGACGCTGTACTGTGACAAAAGATGAACTGGTAAGAGTGGGATTTGAAGAATTTCTACACAATTTTACAGGCAGTAAGAGATTAAATAACAATTGAACGTGTGATAACAGAGAAAGGAATAGTATCAAGATTGGAATCTGTTGTAAAATAACATCCCAACCTATAATTAGTATTAGCTATGCACTCATGGTTGCATATATTATGGATAATAATTACAACTTTCAATCATCACAGTTGGTGAGACCATTAAACAAAGTAGTCAGGATAATAAACAACGTACATCTTCATAACCATATTACTCCCTATTATTTAAGCCGTGGCCCCATTAAACTGCCTGACTATATTAACTACACATCTGCTGAATATCGCTCGATCACAAAGTGCTGTAGCCTAATTACGCTGGTCCATAGGTCAGAATTAGTAAAGGAAGATTTTTTCCCCAAAAACTCATAGATGCTATAACAGAAATGGCTTTCCTATATCAAGAAGAAAAAAGGTAACTTGAATTTATTTAAAGAGATCTGCATCAGGGATATTTTTCTCAGTACTCAACTCTGGCTGGTCGACTATTGTGATAATTTCTTATCCAGCATATTTGTTCTACTTTTAACTCTTTTCTGGTGAATATCGATTAAGATTTCCCATTTTCCCTTTGCATTATTCTCAGAATAGCAGTAATTTCATTCAAAAGCATGTAATTAGTTTTAATCGTCGGTTTCCCTTATACTTCATTCCTTTGCTGTTTTTATTTACACTTTACGTTGACTTATTGTGATGAATAAAAGACAGCAAAATAAATGCAACATGAATTAGAGGTCTTAATAACAGTGACCTTGGTGTAGCAATATTAACAGGTGTAGCAGAAATGGAAGATGAAATAAATTTAAGTCTTAAGCTTCAATAGAGAGGGAAGTAGCATGAATTGAAACTTTAAGGAACAGAAGAGGCCCTAAAAATGGAAAACAGGTGGGGAAATCATAGAATGTATTTATTAAGAACAGTACAGTAACAAGGTAAAATGTAGAAACATTTCACCTTGTAGCGATCGTGAAAGATATGTTCACAGTTAAAGATGTGGTAAGAATAGATGGTGCAGTAACAGTTCAAGCTATTGTCAGCAGTGGAGCATGTAGCTAATATTAAGCGGTTTGGCTCAGTAGGAAGTAGTAACATAGAAAAGAAGATATTGTTAATAAGAAGGCGGTTGAAAGTAGTTTTGGAACCAGAAGGAGCGGCACAGAAAAAGTAAAATGTGAGCAACAAAAAAAATGCACCAACAGTAGAAGAACTGCAATTATATTTAAAGGTATATTGATGGGTTTAATAGTAAAGGAACATGAGAAAGTGTAATAATATTTAAAGGGTTGACAACAATAGGAGCTGTGGTAAAACTTTAAAATGCAGTATAGTTCCAGTGTAAACAGTACATCTAAACCTGTAGGTGTCAAAGCAGTTTAATACATCTAAACTATAAAGGGTAGCGATAGAATAAGGCAGTGTCACATTCAAACGATTAGAAACTAGAGGAGCAGAATAGAAAAACAAAGAGAGACGATATAAAACGAATGTGAAATGCACTTAAAACCTCTGATAACAGTAGAAGGATTGGTAAAAGTGACAATTGCAGTAAAAAAGGATGGTATTCAAAACAGTTAAATAATCGATAAAAGTAGTAAATGTGAATATATTAGGAAAATCAAAAAAACAATAACTGTTTTTCATAACTATTGAAGATGTCTGTATACTAACATGACATGGTTTAGCAGTACCAAGGAGAGTGATACTAACAGTGAATTCTAATAGAGTAACAGTATACAATTAGAAGTGTACAACCCCTATGTACTGTGAAAGATTCACGGACAATAACACACTCAGCGACTGTACAGTTGCAGTAATAATGAAAGATTCACCTTCCACTGCCATTACCTTCCACTATCTTCTACAACAACTTAATTCCAGTGAGAGAGCTGCACGCCACATGAGTATCAAGGAAATTGCAAACTATATTCTTCCCTATGCTTATGCGTTTCTTCTTGGTGATGTTTATGTGTACTCGTAACAACACACTTTTTTCCATTGTTTTGAATATTGCACGAACTGTTTTATTTCTGTAATTAGCCTGAAGCTGTATAATTGGACAGCCACAGTTAGCACTGGAATGTTAAAGATTTATATGATACCATTTCAATGCTATATGTTCAGAATCTCTTCAGTTTGACTAACATGTACCAGTCATTTCAGGTTTGTCAGGTTTTTCACTTATGTTGCATGTGATATTATTGTGATAATTGTTGGAATTCAGGTATTTCTTGTGGAAACAATTTTTTAAATAACTGTCGCTTTTCAGTTTTTTCAGAGGATGCTGAAATTTAATAGTGATCAAGAAGAGCCTCAGTCATTCTTCGAGAACATGAACTCCACTATGCTGGCAAATTGCCTCTCGCGAATCTATCAATATGCCATAACGACCTCTACAAGATTTTTCAACAAGAAAATAGTTTAAAACATTCCATTTCTGGTCTTTTAAATATTTTATTAACTTGTTTGAAGACCCTAACAGAATGGTTCATTCTTGACATTTCCTATGACATCACGCATTTCTGACAGGATGTTCGCCTCGTTAGCTGATTTCCAATCCAATCCCATATACTATCACTAATTTGCCTTATAAGGCAAATTGCCTTAAAAATTGTTTCGTTTGTGACTTTCTGTAGTTTCGGGGTTTTAGAGTTCTCAAGATTTTCTTTTTGAAATATTTTCAATTTCATTGCTATGCAGAACATAATCGGTCTGTTGAATGTAAGTTTCGCGCCAATTATTTATATATATGAAAATCGGTCCATGTTCTATATTTATAAACGGTTGCACATGATACAACATTTGGTAGTCAAATGTCAAAGTCACTCTCTTTGTCCTAAGACAGAAAAATGGTACGTTTCGGGAAAACAGAGGTATCGAAGGTACATTCTAATTATGTGTCTCCCGGTTTTCTGATATATCCAATGTCTCGAGAGTAGTTTTTGGAACGTGAAGTATAGTTTATTTTACGTTACAATTATCATTTCAAGCTCAAGTTTCCAAGAATGTGATTGTTTGCTTTAAAATTTACTTTTTTTGAGGATTAAATTGTACTTTTATTTGTTCCAAACATATAAAGGTTATTTTTATAGCTACATAAACATAAGGTCTACTAGTTTACCTTACACGTAACAGGTGTGTACAGCGAGGGGTTAATGTCCTGTTCCCACACTGGTTGATATCTGTCCAGAGTAGCAAGTGTAATACTTGTCATGTGGCTTGGATTAACCCTCATGTGAGCATCAAGGAAGAAAAAGCCATGAGAGTTGTGGCATAAGGGATATGACGGCTCCTTTTTTTTCCTACATATTGGTATATTCAAATTTCAAGTATATAGCAACAGGAAAAGGGAAGTGTTAGTAGAAGTTTTAGTCAAAGAGGGAGATGTAGTAAGTATAGAAGGTATGGTGACAATAGAAGGGATGGTAACCACCTAGCTTAGATTTAATTTTGAACGTGAGAGGTTGGTAAATTTGTATCACTAGCAATACAAGGTGTTGTAAAAGTCAAAGGTGATATGAAATATAGAATACTTTAGAACTGGCAGCAGGAAATGTAGTCATAAATCTTTTATAGTAGTAGCACTCGTAGGGATAGAACAACATGGATTAATGGTACAAGGTAAAGATACTCTTGATCATCTTGTGCGCCAACGTAACGAACGAGATAGCAGAAGTGAAATTAGTGCTGATTAGTAGAAGACATAGTCCTATTTAAAAGAGTATCGTCAATTACGAATTTAGGAGCCCTCATGATGATATCATCAAAATAAACGATTGACTGATAAAAGTTGGAATTAAAGAACATTAGTTGGAATTAAAGAACATTAAACAACTCTACAGGCAGAGATTAAGTAACAATTGATGGTGAGCAAACAGTGAAGAGTGTAGTATCAAGATTGGAATCTGTTATTAAATAACATCCCAATCGAAAATAAGTGTTAGCTATGCACTCATGGTTATACTCTGGATAATAATTACGACTCTCAATTATCACAGTTGGTGAGACTAATGAAACAAAGTTGTTAAGATAATGAACAATGTGCATCTTCGTTGCATATTATGGGTAATAATTACGACTCTCAATTATCACAGTTGGTGAGACTAATGAAACAAAGTTGTTAGGATAATGAACAATGTACATCTTCGTTGCATATTATGGATAATAATTACGACTCTAAATTATCACAGTTGGTGAGACTAATGAAACAAAGTTGTTAAGATAATGAACAATGTGCATCTTCGTTGCATATTATGGGTAACAATTACGACTCTCAATTATCACAGTTGGTGAGACTAATAAAACAAAGTTGTTAGGATAATGAACAATGTACATCTTCGTTGCATATTATGGGTAATAATTACGACTCTAAATTATCACAGTTGGTGAGACTAATGAAACAAAGTTGTTAGGACAATGAACAATGTACATCTTCGTTGCATATTATGGATAATAATTACGACTCTCAATTATCACAGTTGGTGAGACTAATAAAACAAAGTTGTTAGGATAATGAACAATGTACATCTTCGTTGCATATTATGGTTAATAATTACGACTCTCAATTATCACAGTTGGTGAGACTAATAAAACAAAGTTGTTAGGATAATGAACAATGTACATCTTCGTGACCATATTACTCCCTATTACTAAAAATGTGGCCACATTAAACTGCCTGACTTCATTGATTACACACCAGCTGAACATTGCACGACTTCAATGTGCTGTAACCTAGTTAGGCTGGTCCATGTCCTCAAAACTTGAATCCTGTTTCTTTCAGAATTAGTATAAGAAGATTTTTTCCAAACAACTCATAGATGCTCTGACAGAAATGGCTCTCCTATATTGGGAGGAAAAAGGTAACTCTTGAATTTGTTTAAAGGGACCTGTTTCAGTCTTGTCTCAGCACTAAACTTTAGAAAGTCGACTATTTTGATATTTTATGATCTAGTACATTGATTTTACTTTTCACTCTTTCCTGTTGAATTTCGACTAAAATTTGCCTTTTTTCTTAGAGAAGAATTCAATGAATTCAAGGGCATGTAATTAGTTTTAACTATTTATTGCCCCTAGACTTCATTTCTTTGCTGTTTTTAATAACACTGTACGGTGTAACTTTTTATAATGAATGAAAAACAACGAGACGAATGTAACATGAATGGGTTCAGTAACAAAAGTGGACTTAATAACAGTAACGCCTGTAGCAATATAAACAAGTGTACAAAATTGGAAGACGAAATAAAAGTACGGTCTAGAATAAGTTTGCTCAGATCAAAGGATCCCGGCTTGCTTTGTCCCAACTGACTATTCATTTGAGCTGAAAGTGTTTTTGTTGTTGCCAGAAATCACGTTTTAAAAATTGACATTTTGGAATTGAAATCCGCCATCTTTGTTATGACGTAGCTATGACGTAGCAAAAGTCAAACATTGTAGTCTCGACTAAGATGGATGAAAACATAGAAAGCAGCGGCGAGGAGAGCGATAATGACTCAATTCTAGACTCGGATCTTCATCCAGACGGTGTAATTGGTCCATTCATGTTTGAGCCGCAACATAGCTCGCCTTCAGGAGAAGAAGAAATTTCTGTTGACGAAGAAATTCAGGAAGAGATTCAAGGAGAAACATCTACGCGCTCACTTCTTGGAAATCTCGAGTGGTGCTCATGCGGTAACTGTCAAGAGATGCCAGCAGAAAACGAGTGTATGTGCTGTCAAGAAATGAAAGTACTGGGTGATTGACTCGATCTGGAAGGTAGTTAATTCTTCTGAAATAACATCTTTGTTTCTTAAGTTTTATTTTTGATTTTTTTACAAAAGAAAAGCGCAGTGCCCGCGACGGATTTATTTCACACTGCTAACTAAGTGATATGAACTATCATTGAAATTGCAGGGAGCAAGCTTCAGTGTATTACTGAGCACAGATCATTTGGACCCGTGTGTTTACTAGCCGAAGTCTTAAGAACAGCCCTTGTTGGCATGCACCAAGTGAGGAAAGATAGAGTTGGAGATTATCCGTCACAATATTTATTGTATATAGACCTCTTTAGTTTGTATGCTTTGTTTGTTCATAAAAGTGAATCATGAGTAGATACGGACGTGAACGAGACAAAATTGAAAGAAAGAGTACTGAAGAGAATTATCACATTACTTATTCTAGGAAAATTTTAAAAAAGAAGTCCACTATTCTAAATTTGTTACAAGTAATCAGAGCCTCACGTTATACGACGAGCGTCAAGAAGTCTCCCGTTGTTGAACAGCGTTAGCTTAGGATAAGTTAATATCAGTTTCCCCAATCAGGCACTTGTGGATTGCAATGCAGCGATGAAAAAACCTTCTTGCGGAGAGTGACTTGAGATTTAAACTCCTCAGTGCTTCGGTTGACGAGCTTCGGGGTGGGTGCCCCAGCAGAACTTTAGCAGCTTTATTCTGTAGGATCTGTAATTCTGACATTATGGTGTCCTTGTTCTTGTCCCCCCATATAACATCTCCGTAATCAAAAAGAGGGAGGATTAGGGTGTTGTACAAGGTAACTCTAGTTTGTAGTGGCAATACATTCCTGATTCTCCTGATTAGGCCTATCCTTTGATTAATCTTCGTGCTAATAGCATCGATATGATCTGCCCATGACATAGATTGGTTGAATGTCACGCCTAGGTACTTGAATGATTGTGTTTTCTCAATGCAAGTGCCCTCTACTTTGACCAAAATATCTTATTGCGATTCAGTTTCTGAGGACTTCCAAAGATAACAAAATTACATTTGGATATATTTAGAGTAAGGAGATTTCTAAAGAACCACTCAGGATGGTAGTAAAAACAGATAAATAAATGGAGAAAGCAGAAAGTGGGAAAAATTAAGGAAAATTGACTGTAGCAACAGTCTGTATACTAACATCATATGGTTTAAAATATATTAAAGTTCACACGGCAACCAGGTGGACAATCAGACATAGTTTGAAGCTACACTGGTTTGCAGATTTAATGAATGTAACCGAAGAAGTTACAATTCATAGACCCAACGTTTCGACACTCCTGTCTAGTGCCTTCATCAGGGGTGATCTAAACGCTGCAACAAGAGGTCCTTTTATATGATCACTAATTAGCGGCCTTTTTTCTGACGAGGTGTAAATAGGCGTCAGGAAGCAGACCGCCATCGTCACGATTTAAAGGAGCGTGGGCGGAGTTAATGTGCCAAGCCTCCAAACAAAGGCTAACGAATATAATTGATAACGAATACATCGGACAGACCAAACGCCAGTTTGGTACACGGTTAAAAGAGCACCAAAAAGCGGTTTTTCTTTGCAAAAAGGAAAATTCAGCTTTATCGGAGCATACTTGCCTAACCAACCATACAATTGGGTGGGATAATTCTAAAATTATCACTACTAATCGGCGTTACCACCAGCGCCTTTGTTTGGAGGCTTGGCACATTAACTCCGCCCACGCTCCTTTAAATCGTGACGATGGCGCTTCCTGACGCCTATTTACACCTCGTCAGAAAAAAGGCCGCTAATTAGTGATCATATAAAAGGACCTCTTGTTGCAGCGTTTAGATCACCCATGATGAAGGCACTAGACAGGAGTGTCGAAACGTTGGGTCTATGAATTGTAACTTCTTCGGTTACATTCATTAAATCTGCAAACCAGTGTAGCTTCAAACTATGTCTGATCATATGGTTTAGTATCAAGAGCAGTGATACTAATAGTGGATCATGTAAGGGTATAGTATTCTTTAGAGGTGGACACCATTTATGTACTGTGAAAGATTCACTAACACTAACACCTTCAGCGACAGCACAGTTGCAGTACAGTAATAATGAAAGTTCTGCCCCCACTGCCTTTACCTTCAAATCTACAACAACCTTTAAAATGTTAAAATTTATTAAGAGAGCCTTACGCAGCATGTGGATGAGAAGGAATTACAAAATAAATTAACCAAGTGCACTCGATGAATCTACCGAGCACAGTGGCGACAACAAAATATTTTGAAACTTAGACTATTTCAGCTGGATGTGGAATTCCCTGCCGTGTGTTGATCTGTTAACTATTATGGGCGTCAACTCTCTAGTGAATCTCTATTTTCTATTGAGTGAGTTTGGTGATTATATTAGAGTTTGTCAGGAATAATTGATAGTGTGACTCATTCACCTTCGCATGTAACAAAAGTTGAAAGGTGGGTTTCTGTTTTCTTTTTCAACATTTCAAGCTGTAAGAAATGTTCAGGTGAATGAGACAATCCTGTGGAATTATTCGGAGTTCAAAGTACAAACCTCGTCACTATGATGTATATTATCACAGGCCTAAACGGATACATTCAATGGCAAAGATTAAGATGATACCATTTCAATGTTACATTTGCATAATCTTCTCATGTTTGACCAATCACGCACCAGTCCTTTGAAGTTTCTCAGGTTTTTCACTTTTGTTGCATGTATGATTAATGTGACATTTGTTAGAATTCAGGTATTTCTTAAGCCAATTTTAAGTTACTGTCCTATTTCATTTTTTACAGGAAAAGAGGATGCTACAATTTCATTGTAATCCACAGGAGCCTGAGCCATTCTTTGTTAATATGGACTCCACCATCTTGGCAAATCGCCTTTAGCGGAGTTATAAATATGCCATAATGACCTCTGCAAGATTTCCAACAATAACAACATATTAAAACATTTCATTTCTGATCTTTGAAATATGTTATTGACTTGTTTGAAGACCCCAATAGAATGGTTCTTTCTTCGCATTGCCCATGACATCACGCATTTCTGACTAGGATGTTCGGCTCGTTAGCCGGTTTCCAAACCAATCCGTTTTACTATCCATGTTAATGATTAGGAGAATTGTCTAAAAACTCCTTTGTATTTTTAGGAATGTGTTTTGCTTTCATTGGTATGCAGAACATAAGTGGTCTCCTGAATGTAACTTTTGCACTAATTATTTTTATTTGTGACTCGAGACAAGCTTGAAAATTGGTCACGTTCTATATTTATAAACGGTGCTACATGATACGACTTTTGGCAGTCAAATTTCATAGTCAGTCTCTTTGTCCTAAGACAGAAAAAAATACATTTTGGTATCTAATTTAGTTTTTGAAACTCGAAGTATAGTTCATTTTACGTCACAATAATAATTTCAAGTTTAAGTTTCCAAGAATGTGACTGTCTACTTTGACAGTAACTGTTTTTAGGGAGAACCGTTTTGGTTTTATAACTACATATATAAGGTCAGCTGGTTTACCAGACATTCAACAGGCGTATATAATGAGAAGTTAAGGTCATTTTCTTCCACTGGTTAGTAGCTGTCCAGCGCAGCATGTGTAGGGCTTCTCATGTAGCTTTGATTAATCTCCATGTTGGCATCAAGGAAGGAAAAGCCATGAGATTTGTGGCATAAGGGATATGACAGCTCCTTAGTTTTGCCTCTTCATGTAGGCATATTTAGAGTACTACTACTGAATATGAAAGCGATCTTCGCAGTAATGAAGCCGCAGTTCACAAATACGATTTTTATATATTCACAGTCATTTCTTCATCACTTCACGGGTTTATTTGGAACCAACATAATGATCAGCTCCCAGTTGGCTTGTTAGCTCAGTTGCTAAAGCACAGCACAGTATCGCAAAGGTCACGGGTTTAAATCCCGTACAGGCTTAAATTTTTTTCAGGTCTTATTTTCACAACTGCTCAAGTTGTGTTCATTACTGCGAAAATCGCTTTCATATTCACCTCTTTATCTGCAGTTCACATATATGATTTTCATATAGTCACAGTCATTTAGTACAAGTATTGTAGATATTCATTTAGAGCCTGAGTTCTTTTTGACAGCAGCATTTGAGTCAAACTCCGTTTTACTGTCACGCAGAATACTTTCTTCGTTTATGTGGTGTTTGTGACCCTAAACGTAACATGACTTTCAACTTCTCCTGCTGGTACCATTATTTCGGATGGTATACAACCAGGTGGAAGAGGTATACTTACGTAACTTCCAAGAGGTTTTGTCGAGTGGCTAAATCGATTTCGGTCAAAGATGCGTGTTATGACGATGCCTTTGTCACCGTCCTGATACTTTACATTTTGAAAAGGGACGACTCGGCTTTTGAAACTTGATCTGCTCTCCCGAAACTTTTGCTTGGAGGATTGGAACAATCCAGTTTTGCCGCATTCAATGCTGTCTGCGGCAAAAGTGTCTTGAGTTTTGTACTTTTCTTCATCAAGGAGTGGTGGAGAGACGGCATGGTGTTCTGTCGCGGTAGCAAATGATGCAATTTCGTCTGGATGTGTTCTTTTTGAGGAGTCAGACATTTTTTTTTAGGAATATAGGAAAATTTCTGACGTTAAGCCTTTTAATGAGCGTGTTATTGTTTTGTTGTTTTTCTGAGTAACCTGTGGATATTGGTTGATCTTGATCCTACGTGTTGTGTAAAGAAGCCCATGAAATGTTCAGGATTTTTCCAGTTTATCATTGAATGAAATATTTTATTCTCTTGCTCTTTCCCAAATTAGTTCCCTACAAACCCTTCACTCACCGAGTTCAGGCGGCTGTTTACAAATAATAGAGAACACTCGTACTCGCCCAAGTCTATTCAGTTTAGCACTCTGCCACCAAATTCACCGCAGAAGTCAGAAAATACGGGCTCCCGAAAAAAAACGGCTACCTGAAAGTACGAAACCTCAATTTGCTGGCCTTTCTTTTATTCGCCGTTCGTGACGCTATATACAAACTACATCTGAGGCATCAGAGCCAGCGCTACATCCATGCATTGGAACCCGACATCAAAATGCTATTTTAAAACGTACGAAAAATTCAACGTGAGTGGTTCGACTAATTTTTTGCTGAAACTTTAAGCTGAAAATGCTTAAAAATCAGCTTGTAAGAGAGAAAAATAAATTTACATTTCTTATTTCTTCATTCACTGTATTCTCTAGACACTAAACGTAAATTTAGCCGGCAAACCATAAGCACGAACGGATCTTGTTGAGCCGCGAGTTGTGTCATTTTGAAGGGAATTTTTAAGTTCGATTCCAGGGATGGCTTTACCTTGCGATCTCTTTTTCTTTTCTCGCGGCAAACGCAGTCATATGCAGTATCGGAGAACAACAGAAGGTCAGCGTGTTATATCCATTTAAAATAGAAATACTCTATTCCACAAGCAATGCTGAAAAGCGCGCATAAACTGCCTTCGACTCTCTCCGCTAGCTTACATTACCTTACGGCTTTGATTGAGGAAAAAAAAGAAGCTATTACACAGTTTATTGAAATGCAATTCTTAGGAGAGTCCAAGTCCTCGGAAGTGTTTATGTAACGATTCAATCGTTCCACTAACATCGTCTTAGGGTTAGAAATCAGAGATCAACGAATCGGTTGTAAGAATTAAAAGCCAATGTTTATTCAAGCTGCATGTTCAAGGACGAAATCAAGTCAAAGGAATGAAAAGCTCCGCTTTTAATAACAACCGAAGCATTAATCATCATTTCAAGTGTGTATTGCGATGTAGATTATGTGGGCTCCTCGAGTTGACATGGAGAACCACTAGCAATCGAAGATCCAAAACACGCGAGGGGAGCTCGTGAGGAGCCTGTTGGTGTTCGAGAATTTCCGAATATTCAAGAATAAGAGACATCCAACGTTGAGATAAAACATTTTCATTACAGTTCAAAGAACTTTTTGTCACATGAGGAGGTGGTTTTCTGTATTCGCCAATATTTAAACTGTTTTTTTTTTCTTACGATTTCCTAAATACGTTTGATGTTAACACGCTGTTGATTTATTTAGACCTCTTGCCAACTGGAAGGCCAACTAATTGCAGACCAATTAATCCACCGAACTTAGCACACTGCACAATCTTATGGAGCTTTGCTGTCAGCATAATGTGATTCACGAGCAATTTGCTAAATTTGTCTCTC